CGCACCGTGGGAATTCCCTATTGCAAGTTGTCGTTAATAATTCATGTAGCCGGCGCGATGCGGTGCCTAAACCATAGATTCCCGCGTATAAATGATACCTCTCGGTGACGATCACGTAGCCGTGCGATGAGACAAAATCTATCGGGAACCGACGAATGTGACCTGGGGGGAAAACCTCCCGCTGTTACAATATCCCGAGCCGCCGGAAAACCGCAGCTTGTGTTTCATTGCTCGCTAAAATACTACTTCGTCCTGACGAAGTTAATTTTACATCACATGTAATTGCAGTTCTTCCTAGGTAACTTTAGACTTCGTACGCTTCCAAATTAGAGGACTCCCGCAATTTTCCCGCTCCCGGATTGGGAAAATGCTCGATATCGAGATATGTGTGTCGATAATTCCAGCCGTTACAAGCGATCACGGCTGTAATTGCATTTCCGAAAATAACAGGCAGCAGACTGCTCATTATTAGTGCGTCGCGAGATCGCGACGCGAGTTTATTAACACGCGAAATATTAAACGGCCATACAATCGGCCATTCTTCGGCGGACGGAATACGACACCGTTAATGCTCGTCGATCGTGCAGCGGGCCGGGAATTTCGGTCGCGTCGATCAAATTATTTCGGACGCAGCCTTCTCGTCATTTGAATAACAATAAACGAACCACCGCGCGTTACGCACCTTTGTGAGAGCTCGAAATTGAAAGAGAAGCGACCGGACGGGGAGAGTATCGATGTCGCGCGCGGTGACGCGCCGGAAGCCGAACGCACTAATTGAATCGTTTTGCGTGTCGTTCATGCCGACACCGGGCGAATTTAACGGCCGATTAAGCACCGTGCCACTGAACAGGAACGTAATATCTCGCGCGTGCACACCCACGCAGATCGGACGAGATCGGCGGCCGCGCCGATCGTAAATTCGATCCCTCGTCTCGCCGCGTCAAAGAAGACAGAGTCAAGCGTTTGCGAATTTAATAATCGTCCACGTGAACACGATATTTAATCTATGGTGTTTTTTCTTCATATGCGAAATCGCTTACTCAAGCGGCGAGCTCAATCGCGTTCGTTTCCGTGCAGAAAAAAAATTAATTTATTCGTTCAAACACGACTTGAATAGGATGAACCATGAATATGATGAATCGGAGTAATTTTTATATGTAACTTTACTGCGGTAGTTATTCGTCATGATTCGTGCTCCTTCAAAAGGAACCGGAATATTAATATATTTCTTTTCATGACGTAAGCTATATTGAAACTGTACAATAAACGTTTAATAGAATTTTAATTCGTGATAAAATTTATACGAGGTCATAAACTCAGTTGATACGCTCTGTATACACCGCGATAGGAAATAAAATTCCTAACACCTCCCGTTTTTTTCCCGCTCGTTACGCGTCAATATTTTACATATGCAAAAATTACATTACCAATTACCAGCCGTCAATCAATATTCGCCGCATCATAAATATTTAAACGTATCGATAATTTTTTTCAGCGCAGATTACGTCGTATCACGACGTGTGTCGCGCGCCATATTACTATCAATGTGAAACGTCATCCGTGTAATAATATATACGCGAGATATTAGCAGGAATCGGGGGAGGGTGGGGGGGGGGATAGAGCCTAAATGGTATTCCCGTGCAGGATCCCGCGCGCTTGCATACGCAAATTATGCGTGTGTCGCCTGCGTGGAGCTTTGATGCTGTGCACCATATTATTATACGAACGTTTAATTTACGATGAACTGTCGATAAAGGAATATCATCGGATGTAAAATCAAATAAGCGAGCCCGAACATCGCTGAAATTTTAGCCGCCGATAATATATTAATCGTCAGCGATGCTGCTTTTCGTGCGTTGCTCTACGTCACTCGCGATTTCATAAAGGAACAACCAAAAAGGAAAAAAAATTCAACGGATAAAATACTTTCTGATAATTATCTGATAACTAGTAAATGATTCGTGACACGTGTCGCCTCTCGGAGCAAAGTAGCAATCGTTGATCGAATTAATTTTTTTCCATGCAAGGAAATTCGTCCTCTATCGGGACCTATAAAGTTAGCACGACATTCTAAATATAAAAAAAATTATAATTAAAGTTCCACTTTCCTAATTAATTTAATAGTAATAATTCTACAATTTCTTATAAATGTTTAAAAGAGAGAAATTTCGTATTTCTTTTCTTGTTGAAAATATAATGTGTTATATGCTAAAAATGAAAAAATGTTATATTAAATTCATGAATCTAGCACCTCTTTCTCTAAACTACAAGAATACAATAAAGGTTATTATTTTTAGCAACAGTTCCTGCCAGTTCTACTCGTCAGTCACCATTGAGTGTAACTTTATAATTTTAATAACCACCAATTTGTTATACTTTAAATGTTACACTCAACATGACACTTTTTCTTTAAGTATTATGTTAATTATTTACGATCTAATTCTAACAATAGTTCTCGTTAATTCACCAAAGTTCTACAATTATTTTTAAGCAGAACTTTGCTACAGCTAACTAGAACTGTAATGAATAATTAGGTTTTTTTCTCTAAGTGTCGTGCAGGCTTTTAAGATTAAAAAATTAGTTAAAATTATATAAAATTGCCGGAACTCTGCTCAAAAATAATTATAGAACATAGAATTCTGCTAGAACTAACGAGGTTGTCGCTAGACGACGGTAAATAATCAGTACGATATCCTTTCTTTAAGTAACGTGTAATATCTAAAATGTATGAAAGATAAATAATTGTTGAAATTTCTATTTCAAGTTCAATCAATGATGAAACTCAAGCAGAACTTACGAGAACTATTGCCAAAAGAACTAATATTTATATTTCTGTACTTGTGAGGGGAGGGCGAGGGAAGTTTCGTATCAGATTTGCGAAAAAGGGTGACGTTTTTTCATTTTTGATTTTTTTTTATGTAAAAAGTATATAAAACCTTTTAATATTTATGTAAAACTGTAGAACTATGAAAAATGTAACTGGAACTTAATTGTTTTTCTCTTTTTTTTTATATTAGTAGAATACCGTATAAACTTCACAAATCCTCTCTGTGGTACGTTTTTATCACTTTCCGGCATTCGCAGTTCGCGAAACGGCCTATATATCTCGAATCGTATATGTATATATTTCGAAAATTGCAACGGATCATATAAAATATCGCACTGCTTAAATAAATCGTTTCTCCTCTCTACCGCAATCTATCAGTGCGCGTCAGCCGTCGCACCTTCGCGCGTTGGATAATTTATTGCAGTGTGTATCGAGCCGCCAACAATATAACCAATCTGATGGCCGGCAGAATGCAGTGGCCGAAGCGCCAATAAATATGGATGGAGTAGTAATAAATTATAGCTGGAAAAGACGATTAGAACGCGGCTATAAATTACCATAGATATATATCGTGATCGCGCGCGCGAGACCATGCCTTATGGTCACCCTTGCCCCCGTCCCGCCTCCATATGTTCGATAATATGGATATTTTTTGGCCTTTAATCCGTTTAACCGCGAATATTCATAGCCCCGATCGTCCATTCGCCGCCGTCTGTTTTTAGCTCGTCCATTTAGATTACGGTGTGCCCTTCGTGCCATCGCGCGATATCGTTGTGATGTTATCGACGGCCATAGAACCACGATAATAACGTGATTTCTCCTCTTGCCTAATCCAGATTACGTTGGCGGCATGTGTGCGTTATAGATATTTTTTGCAATATAACGAGGAATTTCCAAATTTTTCACACGTTCTCTTTTTTTTACACATCCGCGGCCTCGTTGTTGATCAATCACATTTGTTATTTTCATAGAAAAGGATCGTAATCCAAAAATTCACAAAATATAAAACATACATCATATATTAATACATAACTGTACATGTTATATTAATATTTCGTTAATTTCGTTATTTTTATGAAACAACGACAAATGAAAGTTTTTTCTATACGAATGTGCATCTATGTAAAATAGAAAAAATTTATTTATATAAAAAATTTGCTGAATAATTTTCTTTCTTTAATAAATAAAAAATGATAACGAGTATTATAATAACGGCGCTTTTTACGGAGAAAGGCGTAAAGATTTGTGATTAAGAACGTGTACGGGAAAAAAAATTCCTTCGAGCCGGATTTGAACCAGCGACCTATGGATGTCTTCAGGTATCCAACTACAGTCCACCGCTCTACCAACTGAGCTATCGAAGGCTACGCAGGCGATTCGTAATTCAACCTTCAGGAAGAATCGTTAAGGCTCACATAGAGTAAATAAAACGGATGTGAAATTAAACATAAGAAATTAAAATTGCAATTCATGCTCATTCACGAGAAACCACTCTTCGATCAGAAAAGGAATAATATAAATTAACTTTTCTTTATTTGGAAGCTCATTCCTTGTTTCCGATGTTAAATTTCTTATTTAATCGATCGTGCTTTAACACGTGTATATCTTTCTCTTACTCATATATATAGAGTTCTGTCATACATCCGGTATGTAGAAGATAACATATGAAAGTGATATCGAGCAATGTGTATACGTATGTATACATGTGTATATGAACATATTTGTACATATATTTAGATCAAAAAATTACATTATGCTAGACACTCACGCATACGCAAGCGTCGCCGATCATGCGTGCCGATCTGACGTAAGCGTTCCATTTAGCTACAATTACTCGGCATCTCGCAAAAAAAAAACTCTCCCCACAAGCAAAAATTTCCGTCGCGAGTCGGAGCACCCATCGGAATCATAATCTCATATGGTATATCTCACGATATACCATAGAGCGAGATGCGTGTATATGAGCACGTACACAGCTGATGCGAGTGGGTAAGGTTAGGTGAATAAATATAAGACGGCGGTCGCGCATTTGGCTATTTCAGGTGCAGACATCACGACACACGACAGTTCCTCATCGCGAATCGCTCCAGAAGTCCGCACAGGAGCGATCGACAAACACGCACAGATCCGCACACATCGACAAAACGCAAATGTAGAAAGGCGACAAACTTACCGGGGATGCCCTGGACTAGTGTTGTTCGTCGTTCGCTTTCCAAGGGCCACCTGTCATCGGACGCGCGGGACACCTTTGATGTCAAGCCGTCACGTTGCGTCACCTTCACTGTACGCCTTCTTCCGCTGCGGCCTCGTTACACCCTCACGTTCAAGCATATCACGCGTCACGTCAAAACTCGCGGACGCGCACAACAAAATCCGTGACACCCACGCGCAAGATGGTGGACCTTCGGCTCTCCGGGTGGTCACGTGGTCCACCAGCATTACTTGTAGCGATATCTCTCGGCTGCCATTCGAGCTGGATTCTCAACTAGAGAGATCGCACGAAGTTCACTTGAGAAACTCTCATACTATTTGTGTCATCGAGCTGTATTAATTAATAAACTATCCAGAGAGGAATAATTGATCGCGAATATATATTATTATAATATTATTTATAAATATTACTATTATACTATAATAATATAATTGTAATAAATTATGGATGTAATATATATTCGAAAGCATACAGGGAAATATGTATATTTACAAATGAAACGAGATTTTTTTTATTTGTAATATTTTCCATCTCTAACTGTTCCATATTTTTTTTATTATGTCGATTTTTACAATTATATACAACGCAAAACGCAAAAACTCATTACTATTTTAATATATTTTATTTCAAGCAACTAACTTCTTCAAACTTTCATTTACCAAGTGGCAGCTTATGCTCGGGCTATATATTTCATATGTCTATGTTGAAATATGGTACCCCTAAAACGTATGCATGCGCCATCTATGGGATAGATCATGATTGATCGTGATAGGTCGATATTGTCAATATTTTCTTGATAATGTAACAATATATCATTTTTGTTTTTAAATTTATATTATACCGATCTATGGTTAATATGATTACAAATTAAACTTTTCTTCTTTCAGATAGATGATTATTATTTTAATAAATTGAATTTATATTTTTTATACTCTTTACATATATTCAATCAACTTTTAATTATTTAATATCTTAATATTTTACGTAATTTTATACGGTTATCTTATTGCTTTAAATTGCTGTAATCTCAAATATAAGAACTAAGAATATTACCGTATGAATAGTTAGGTTTTTAAATATTAATAAATTGTATATTAATATATATTTAAATATTAATAAATATTATTTTTAAATATTAAATCTTAAATACAGTGAATCATTTCATCTTAGTTTAATATTAGCAACAACGAGAATGCAACGATTCGCTGTATTATATTGCGTTATTTGTGTTCCTCGGTGGAAAACACCAGTTTTCTCTTCCTAATATTTTAATAACTATTTTTCCCAATTACCATTCAAGTCTCTCTCGACTTGCTACTTCTGGCCACGAGAAATCGTTGGTGTCGCGAGGCTGTTTTCGGAACTACGTGATACCACTAAAATCGGCACAGACAGAAAGAAAATATGACAGAAAATATCATTCAATAGTGCGTCAACGTGTGCACGTTACTCGAATATTTTACGATGATCTTGTTCTGTCGCAAGTAAACGGCATGTGTTATATGTCCAGTCGGATTATTCGCTATTGAAAATTATTCCGAGACAAAACGTGATCTACCGTCCGCTGTCATTTCCGACAAATTTCGTTTAGGAGAAACGCGCGAGGCTCGGCGAATCCACTACCAGCAGAAGATGCGAGCCGTGCAGAATGGAGCGAGGTGTGGGAGAGACAAATCTGTTGTCGAGTTGCGGGGAACCCGCGAATGGATGGTTAGAGAGAGATGTGGACGATCAACGGCAAAACCCAGACGCATTCTACAAATGTGTCGCTAACGATACAGGTAAATGCGAAACTCGCACGTTTTGCTGTTTTCGACGTTTATCATTTCTTTTGTTTATTCTTAGACGATTTAAACAAATTATCAACAAATGCAAAATGGTGGAGAGATACCAGTACTGATGGAGATTTGATAATGAAGTCTGAGGCTGGACTTGTGGAAATCTATTCATTAATAAGTTTGTCAACAGAGATCTTACGAGTTTACCAGAGCTGGATTTAGTTGCACATTTCAGGCCAATTTCATTGTCAATGCCTATTATTCTATTTTTATTGTTTATTGCATTTCAGCTCAAAGCTTGTAATGTTTATTTGTTTGATGATTATTTGTTTATTATTTGATGAACAACAAAAAAGTACCATTCAGATCCATTGCCAGCATTAAGTAAAATGCAATCCTAGTAATGGGAATGTACATAAATCACATGATACTTCATCTTAGGAGCATATAAACACAATCTTGATTTCTTTAAAAAATATCAAAATTATTATATATAATATTATTATTAATGATATTAACAAAAAAGTTATTTTATTATTCAAACTTATCATGAAAAAGAAAAATTGAATTAGCTTGATATTCTTTAAAGAGAGCAGGATTTTATTCTATTTATGGTATATTCTGCAGCCTATTATTAGGACACAGTAGGTATCCATTGTTGCTACCACTTGTCTCCTAATAATTAACAATAAAATTAATCCAAAATGTGCAAGTATTCCAGCTTTGCTCTATACATTTTATGATATTAAAAATATCAATAATTTGAATTGTTATAAATTGATAGATTCCAACTCTTTGTTTTGCAATTTTATTACATGTTTTTATTGTATGTTGTTATAGGACACACGGATTTGCAGTCAACAGGTATGTCACAAAATCTACGGTCATTAAGTAATGAAGATGATGCAAAAAATTTGATCAAACTTAAACAAAACAATGATGTAAAATCGTCGAAAGAACTTAAAGAAATTGTGAAACGTACAAAGCAACCTGAAAACTGGAAAGTGAATGTAAAAAAAAATGCTAGATTAAAAGGCGAAGAATACATTGGTGTCGGAGGTAAGGATAGAAAGTTGATAAATACAGTTGAGTTAATGTCGCACAAGTGACAATTGATAATTCATGTTTCTTGATTTTACATAGGCAAAATAGTGCCAGCTAAAAAGATGGGACGTCCTTGTGTTTGTCGAATGCATTGTGCGGACAAGATAGATGAAAAAGAACGCGAAGAGTTGCATAAGGTTTTCTGGAAAACCTGCACATGGCAACAGCGAAAGCAGTATATCGCGCTGTCCGTCAAAGAATCTCCAAAACAACGCACTCGTTTACGCAACAACGTTCAATCGGAACGTTCCTCGCCAAGACGTCGGCAGGTGACTTTCACTTATTCTCTCTTATTGAAGAATGAATTCATCACTGTGTGCAAGTCGATGTTTCTCAGTACATTTGCGGTGTCAGAGAAATTTGTACGACATGTAATGGAGAAAAAACGAATATCACCGGGTGGTATCATCGGGCCGGACCAAAGAGGTAGACACGCTCCAAAAACTAAAAAGAGTGAAGACGTGAAGGAGCGTGTGCGCGAACACATCAGATCGTTTCCAGTAGAGAAACCAACGGATTCTAAGGATCTCAGTGGTAAATGTTACTTAGATTCGAATCTAAATATAGCTACGATGCATAAATCATATGTGTCAAAGTGCAAACAGGAGGGTATACCTGAAAGTGATATAGTAAAGGAAAGTTATTATAGAGATATGTTTAAAACTGAATTTAATCTTGGATTTAAACGTGTGCAAACGAAGGAAAAGAAACTATTGTCGAACGTTAGTTGAGATAAAGGAGAATGTCAGAAATAGATTTATTATTTCTACACTAAATTGTAGTAACATTTTCACATATTTGTGCCCGATAGTTAGCAGAGACATTTACAAATTTATTCATTTATTTAGAAATTTATTACATTATTACATTGACATTATTTGGTATTAAAAAGCGCTAATTAAATGAGATAATGTACATATGTGTATAATATATGTATAATATATGTATATGTATATTCGTTTTTCTATACAATTGAATTTTATTTTTTAATAACTCGTGTTATAATTATTGTAAAAATTATTAAAAGAATAAACAGATTTACATACTTCACATAATTCACACAGTTAATAATAGTAATTCACACATAATTCATAAAATTATATATATATATATATATTCAAACAATATATCAACAGGATATCCGGGAATAATCATATTACCTCACATTACACAATACTCTATTTACCCTATTTTCACAATAATTTAAGAGTTATTTATTTATAATTTATATAATGTAAATTATAATCCATAAATATACTTCCGTACAAAAGGATAGTGTTATGCATGTTACTAGACACGGCTATATTTGGAAGCATATATTATATATATGCTTATATATATATTATATATATGCTAATAGATATTCTATCATTTGTAGATCACGTTCTAACATTTTGCTATACGCTTAACAGCCATAAATGTACATAGCGCTGGGCTGTTTCTTCGCGCAAATGCTCGTTTATTCATGGATTTGTGTATAAATTAATAATTATTAATTATTGCGAAAATCTCAGAATGGTATAGAACTTTTTCATTCGATATAATTCGCTCTATCTGCTCGTGAGAAGTGATACAGTTATCACTTGGATACCTTGTATATATGTGTAATAATATATAAATGTATAAATATATATATATATATATATATTTATTAAACATTTTCCAAATAATATATTATTAAAATTTGTATAATTAAAAATTAATTACACAGATTAAAAATATATATTTGTATAGATTTTTTGAATAGTAATATATAAAATTTCCTTATATACATTTTTTCATATCAGTCTTATTTAGCCGCTAACATAATTTTTTTAATAATTATTAAACTGTTACATTTATCAAAACTAATATTTTACATAATATTCACAAGTACTAGTTTTTATCTTATAAATTTAAATAAATGATATTTTTATTATACCGCAAGAATAACATCAGCTGAATATATACATTAAAATTCATTATCATCATTATGAAATGCGCCAGATCTATATTTTTAATTTTAATTTTTAATTTTATGTTTGTTATAAAACTAGATTATATTCAAATGATAAAAAATAATCGGCAAAATAATTATTTGCAAAATCATTTCTATCAATATTATACCAAACTTTTATAGAGAGCGACAGTACTTGTTAAACTGCAACTATAGTTTAATGATTAATGACAATAATTTTTCAGAATTCCAAATTATCACAAAATTATTAAATTATGTTAGTTAGAATAGAAAAATATAATAATAATTTTACAAGAATCATATTTTAAATCATTAAAATAAAGATGTAAATATATACATATATATTCCTATATAATAGGAATATGTCTATTGTTTTAAAATCTAAAATTTATATTTACATAAATATAATTCTCTTGTGTCATTTGAGTTTCTGAATATTGTCCATATTTTTACGTATTGCTCTTCAAAATGGATGCCAATGAAATTATAATGTAATAATATAATAGTTATCATAATTGTTTTATCATTAATTTTTTTCTGTTTGCGAACTAACTTCTCTACATCGAAGCGTCGCTGCCTCTATAGCGCTGATCAGTGCCGATCTTAAACCATCCTTTTCTAATTGATGAATGGCAGTTATGGTGCATCCTGCAAAAAAATTATAAAGAAGATATACATTGACCGAAGAAATGTGAATTAATTATATATGATATAAATTCTGACCTGCTGGCGAAGACACGTCGTCTTTAAGTTGTCCTGGATGAAGATTTGTCTCGCGAACCATAGTACCGGCACCTAAGACAGTTTGCGCAGCGAACTTATAAGCCATAGGCCTAGTAAGTCCCATTTTAACTCCACCGTCAGCCATCGCCTCAATTATCATAAATATCTAAAAAAGTTCCCATTTTTCATTAACATATCAATCTTTTTTAATATAAAAAAAGAAAATTTATAATTTAAAAGGGAATAAATAAAAATATAAATATACAATATAAATATACAAAAGGCTGATAATATGAATCGAGCGAGCACATTGCGATAAGAATATGGAAAGTATTGTCTTTTTTTTAATTTTTCAAATTTAATTATTGTAACTAATTTCATATATAAAAATTTGACTACGAATTGTTCATAATAAACTAATGGGATTAAAATATTTGCTAACATAGGCAGGACCGGAACCGGCCAGTGCAGTTATGGGATCAATGAAATTTTCCGGGACTTCTTCGCAAATGCCCACGGCGGAAAATAGTTTCTCCGTGATCTCAGCGTCCTTATCGGTCGCATGTTTTCCACGTGCAAATACCGTAGCACCGCAACCAACTAATGCAGGCGTATTTGGCATTACTCTTATCACAGGTGTTCCTGCTGGCAGCGCCTGAAAATATTCTTTTTTTCAAACACAATGTGTCTTCCTTTACGGAAAATTTCCATGATAAATTATTTTAATGAATTGAATTCCTACTCGATGATAAAGATGCATTACCTTTTCTAACGATGTCAAAGAAATACCCATAGCGATGGAAATGAGTAATTTCTTATTATCACGTATCTTAAACTCCGGCAAAACTTTTGGTACAACTTGCGGTTTTACTGAAAGGATTAGCACGTCGCCATGATCGATGATGGGTGCATTTGTAAAGACTGTATTCGATCCCACTTTCTAAAAGTGATGATTTAATTAAATATGTTTTTGATGGAACTAATGACGCATTTAATATAGCACGATATATGCTATATATCAGAAAACTAAAATTTTCTCTATTAGAATTTAATCGAATTATTTCTTCGTATAACTGTTTGTATTTCCTATTTTCATCTTAATGCACAGACATTAATGTCAGCATTCTTACATTTTATAAGAAACATGACTTTATTTATCTATGATTTCACACACATTTTTCACATACATATCTGATACGATACCATTTAAATAAATCCAGTGCAAATAAAACTTGGATGTAATTCTAGAACTTGTAGCGAATTGTGATATATAATGTAAACACGAGATATTAGAATATTTCATGCGATCAATAGATGACTATCGATAGATGTGCAACAGATGCGATTTCTCGATCAGAATTACAATAAACTATATCTTATCACGATAATTTAATAAACGAAACGTCGAGAAAAATTCATTCGTTAAGAAACTCGGCCAATTAAAAGCGAAACAGCTATTGTTTATTATGTTTTAATATTGTTCTAATATTTGACAATTTTATGATAAATATTTTGATCAAGTTAATCCAGCCAGCTTCAAAGTCTCGCAAAACATTGTACGATATGAGATGCGAATATCCTTTCTCTTTGTTCAATGTTTTTAATATTAGATATCGCAAAGAATTTACATCATCGATCATTATCACGGATTCATCACGATGAGAAATCGCATTTTATCATTCGTCGCATTCTTATATCATAAATAAAAGAAGAAAGCTCTTCAGTTTATCGTCAAAATCTTTCTTGCACGATGATGTCATAGTTTATCTCACCTTAAAAAATTCGATGCTCCCGATGTCATTTGGGAGGCAACTGGCTAACATCATTTCGCCTTTGCTTAAACCTACAAGGAAGAAGAGAAAAAAAAATGCGACAAACGTTTCGAGATGTTTGTGAATTTTCATTGATAAAATTAATATAAATGTGACCGCCCGTATTTCATTGAAACGTGTATATTAAGAAGGAACTTTAACATATTATTAAAATATAAGGAATATAAGGAATTGTTTACCCGTCCGTATGAAACCCTTGGCGAGCGCCTGAGCCATTTTTCCTCCGCCGAGGAAGCCGATTTTCAGCATGTTCGTGTCGATGTTTAGTGGTATCCTCGATTTTTTTATCTCGCCGTCCGCGAGAAGTTGATCACTCACTATGGGATACGGGTGAAGAGGGAATTACTGATCTCGCAATTCGACAGTTGAAAAGAATAGAGGAGAGTTTTTGATTTAACGAATGACAGCGAATTATATTGTAACGGACAAAAGTCGTTTATTCCGTGAAGTTAGATGGAATTATCTGAATCACTCTGTTTCTCTGCAACGGACTAGTCGTAGCAGGCGTATTTGTTGCTCTAGAATACTGATACGAATGCGATAAGACGAGGCAACGAAGCTTATAATTTTTTATGTTACCGAGGTCGATCCCGCGTTCGAATGCGATATTCGTGTCTCGTGCTCTCGCATCTCTTTTTATCGCACGTCCTATTGCCTCTTGCTTTTTTGCGGTGAGGATGGTCCCTATTTTTATGTAATCTCACAAGAAGAAAACAGCAATTTCGCACATCTTGTGTGCACATCTAATGTGGAAAATGCTCAACTGACCGCATCGTTAATCTCCATCAAGCACTAAACTCGTTCCGTTATTTGGATTGATTTATAATATAATTTGGTTGAACGAGTATTTTCTATCCGGTACGTAATGATAAAAAAGCAATTGAATTATCAGTCTCTCTATGACGAAAATATTTCAGTAATAAATCATTTAAGCACATTCATGATTACTAGAAGTAAAAAAAGAGAACATTCGAATTCTTGTAATGATAACTTAAATTTTTTTATGAAATAAAAGATTAATTTGCATATGAAATAATTATCTGCATTTTAACAATGCATTTTACCTCATTGCCAACTCATAAGTCACTGATAATCCAATTATTCCAATTATCCAGCAATTTAATTATTCGGTTAGTATAAATTAAAACTATTACTTATTATGTAATATGCTACGAAATAACTTCTATTTTATTTTAATTTTAGAACATGATAATATACGAATAGAACATAACATATATGAATAAAACATGATATATTTTTGATATATTCGATATTAGATAAATTATTTTTAAAAATAAGGAATTTTTAAAAATAAGCAAATTGGATTTTTAAATTTATGCGTTTAAAGCAGTCATGCATCCTTATCATAAATATCGACGGCACGTTATAGAAATGCAGTAAGTTATGATTTTATTTTGTAAAATAAAATCAATTAACAGCGTGACTAATGAGCGTCTTTTGACAATCGCGATAATAATCAGCTGTCATTGAGACAAAAGAATTTATTGAGCATGTTTCGGTTGAATGTCATATCTCTGTCTTAAATATCACAGAATTTTTATTATGCTACCTTTAAAAGCCAAAACTAATTGTTGTCAAAGTTGATTATACACAATATTAATCAGCAATGAGCGCAATTAGTAACAGTTTCTAATATTATTTATTTTCGAAGTTTTCACAACTCTTTTTTATTACTATGCAATCCCGGTAATAAATCATACTTTAATGTATCAATCATATTTTAATGTATTATTTTAGAATAATGTTATATATTTTTTATTAATTTAATGATTACACAATTTAAGATAAAATTTCAATTTATTCGCATTAAATGGAGAAAAAACATATATAATAAGAATTAATAAATTATATTAATTTTGTATGTTATATAATAATATAAGACAATATAAGAAGTTAAAAATATCAAAGTATTTTATTAGAAATCAATGATATTACGTAACAAGCATACTCACCATACTTGCGTGCATTTAAATTCTGCCACGCACGGTTTAATTTTACGAGTCCCATTGCCCTCAGACCGGCGGTCATTTTCATGATTTTTTACAATATAATATGAATAAATAGAATTTGTTACGTTAGATACATGTATGAGTAACAAAAAATTCTAAAAATCTTCGTGATTGTATTTTCTTCTTAAACTCAAAATCTGAAAAAAGATAAAATACTATATTAATAATAAAGTACTGATTACAATAAAATGCTTTAATGAAAATTCATTTGAATCTCATTACATTAGTCACTATTGACAATCGTCGAATTGATAATGAAACATTTATATTTTTTGTTATTGATACCATAAAATATCGTGTGTCGTAAATCATATCGGAATTTCATTTACAATACCGGTACTAAATCAGTGAAACTGATTACAAATCTGATCTTTAACATTTATGGCATTTCTGATTACCTTATTAACAACAAAAAATGTGCCTTGTGTATTGCAATTGATAGCTTTAAAGAATAATAACACATAAGGAATTAGAACACTTGCAAGTTTTCCTGACACATTTTCAATGAAATAATGGCAGATACAATGCCTTTGATAAGGTTTGATTGACACAATCAGATGTTACTCCTTCGATTGTAATCGATGCAGGTAATAAGCGTGGTCTCCGTTCTTTTATTACTGCACATGTCCAATTTGGCCGTCTTTATATATATGTTTTAGGACGTCTATCGAACCTATCTTTGTTTATATAAAACTACCTGTTATCAATGTATCCAATCAGAACTCTAATAAAGTGGGATTCCTCCTCACTGCGTCGCTCGATATCGCGTAGTCCAACCGAAAAAAGAAAAGCAAATCATTAATTTAATTTAGAAAAGTTTGAATTTGGATGTGCGTTCTTCAATTATCCTTCATCCCTCTGTCTATAATTTTCCGCTATTATATTTCTTAATAATTCTAGTATTCATATGTGGGCTATGAATTATTTGCAATCCGCCTTACGTTTAAAGTGGACAGTATTTTGGTCGCAAAGTCGCAGAAAATATGATAGAGTGTCTCAGATACTCGTGATGCTCATTGGCAGCTTCCTGAGAGACGAAAATTTGACTTTGATCAAAATGTCGAGACTCTACAATAATTTTCAAATGAAAAGGATTTAAAATTAACTAAAATTGCCTGAAATTCACGAGTTCAGACGTGACATTGTATAGTAGTTACAATTTTCAGATGTTAATTTTATTCTCAAAGTTTACATAAGTTTCTGCATTCATTATTATGCTTCCTAGTTTTATTCTTTTATAGCATTGAGCTGTTAATTATTGATAGATAAATGTATAATCGCTTTATCTCTCGCTATTTCGATGCGACATTAAAATTGTTAGACATTGTTCACTTCCAATCGGTACTGCTGATAATATGGCGAATATGTTATATTTCTCATAAATAAAAAACCATATTAGAATAAAAGGCGCATCATTAAGAGATTTCTCATTCATTTCCTAATGAAATGATGATGAAATAATTGGTCTCTTCTTTTGTAGCTGAACTAGTACCTAAAATGAAATAAATATATATTTAAAGTTTGACGAAAACGAGATAGAAAGTTTTAAGTGCAGCCTAATGCAGAAGCAGGAATCAAATCTAATATATTAATATAGACAAATTACGCATTTTCAATATTGACGATAACTTTTTAATGCAGTAATAACTGACAGCTTGTAAAATATCTTTTCTTTATTATTCTGAAGCGTTTTTCTATCTATGCGTTATCTACGTTTCTCGATATCACCGACAATATTTTGCCGATTCGAAAGTGCGCGGATCATACAGATGGCGCGAAAAGTACCGTCGGAAGTTTGTCATAGGAGAAAATGCACGATGTGAACTTCACCTCATTCAAGATCTAATGTACATTGTACCCAGTGACAATTGTATTTTTAGATTCTCTGTATAATCGTAATCATAATTCGATGGACCTTTTTGAGACTTTAAAAAAAAATCGTTGATATTGAATCTGTCAAATATTGGAAAATTACTAAAAGTGGTTTTGATTCATGAAAAGTCCGACTATAAGATCTCTAAACGTTCATTTCGTTCAAAGTCCGTATGTAATGATGGGTTATATAAAATTCTGGGAGTTGAAGAATTGTGAAATGCGCGTAAGTTCTCCTCTCACGCTAGCGCGAACACTTTTCCGTTAGCGTCGGCTTCCCTTAATTGTTTCTCACTCTCAGAATTCCAGATAATTCGAAGATGAAGCTGCTTGAGATCTTAGCAAACAATGCGAAACATTCAAAGCGAAACGGAGAAAAACGCAGCGCCGAGATGCAAAACATTTGACTAAGAGTTCAATCATTAACTTCCTTTTTAATATCCATTAAATATTAGCTCAACAACAATAATAACATCAACAATAATAAAGTATGAGTTATGTGCATAATTTACGTACGATCGCATGAGAATAGCCCATTAATTTTAACAAAAAGAATGATTTATGAAAGATACAAAAAATTCCTTTTCTTTGTTTGCTCGCTCAGGTATTTTTTATTTCTCAAACGCAGAATATCTTTAATCAAAAATTGAAATTCCAAATTTTCAAAGATAAAATGTCGTACTGTTTGTCTCTTTTTTCTTTTTAAAATTTATCACGATCAACATCTCCACATACGAGAGCAATTCTTCTCTTTCGACTACGCTAACCAAAAATGTGTTGGTAAATTCCAATCAAATATTGCGATAGAGCGACTACATCCTCATGGAACTCATGATATTTTATCAACAGCTGAAACAATTTGACACCGAATTATCAGAAATATGCAGGGGTCTGTCGTTTTGTATCCATTTAAATAATGTTCCATTTAAATGGTTACGAAACGGCAAATTCTACTCGGCACTTTTGTTAAATTGCCACTTCTGTCAAATTGCCGTTGCATTTCGTCAGCGATCTTGCGTGTTATATAATATCGTAACATTGCAGCAATGTTGCTGTAATGTAGTTGCAAAGTTTGTACTGCTTAAGGCTATATGTTTGCGCTCTGCCAATACAATTCCGCCGATATAATTAAAAAGTAAATTTACATTTCGCAAAATCTGTTTTTAGACCTGTGGTTGTCCGGTTTATCGTTTGCGCAAGTATAGAAAACGTTTCCCACGTTTGCTTATTGGCGCGTTATCTATTGCGTGTCATATCCTACGATTGATTGCTTATCTCATTAAACGTGGATCGCATTTCGCAATTTCGAATATAACCATCGCTATTGCAGCTTTCTCATAGTTTGAAGAGTTCTACTGTTTTGTGTTCAAGAATTTTAGAGATAGAAGTCATCAAAAGTCACATCAACGCTTGTTTGCATATTACATAACTCGTATGAAAATTTATCTGATAAAAATTAATAATACATGTCGCTAGATTGTAATTATGATAATTTTTTGAGCGTCATTGAATAAATACATATATACATGAAATGCTCGTATCTCTGTCGCTTTGTTAATGACAATGAAATGTACTTTATCGAATCAAATGTCATCAAAATGTCTATTTTAAACGATTCGTTATCTATAATTCGTGTTGGAATACAAGATCAAATAAAATCTAATAAAAAAATTGTATAAAATTATAATTGTATTATTGTGAGAAACAAAAAGAAAAAGAGATCATTCTTTTGGATTTCTAATGAATTTTCTTTGCATAATTTGTTCGATGTGTGTTTTTCAAGATGTATGTATTACCCAAGTAACATGTGATTATCATAATGTCAAGATAATGTTATAAGTTTTGACTAAAAGATATCATAAATTTTAACTGATAAAGTTTTAGTTTAGAAATGATAATATCTCAATTTTGTAACAATTGCATATTAATTTGATAAATAAGAGAATACGATCTAGAATATCACTAAGAAGAGAGAAACCATTTCAACTATACACTTCAACTAAAACTACACAAAAAATAGCGTAACAATATAGAGTATTTAACTATTTTGTTGAGTTCGCTTTTTTATTTGCGGACAACTTTAACCAACTTTCCTACTTCCTCTCTTTTCTTCTATCGCGGTAAAATGAATTGATAAAAGTGATAAAAATGTTAATAACTATTGTACAAAATTTATAAATTGATAAGAAAACATGATATGCATAAAATGAATACAGAGACATGTGTAAAAAGGAAACGAGGAAACAATATTCAAAGATTAAAGAAAAATATTTTGTAATGCAACATACAACTTTGATCTTTATGTTAAATTGTGAAAAGATATAGCCGATATACATGCATTTCGAATGGCATAAAAATTATCAAGTATATTTATGTTACGTCATTTTACGTCATTTTAAGTATATATTTATTTTACGTCATTTCATTCTGGTAACATAAAAATTAAAAATTTATTATAATTTAATAATTATAAAATTAACAATTATTAATAAGAAAAACCGCGTAAACAATTATGAAATTTTTATATGAAATAAAAAAATTGTTTTCTCAAGCATCTCTATCTCTATTTATCTTTAGAGAGTACACATCGATCACGATCAATGATGTAATATTGATGTAATATTTTTCTTCCCTTTCTGATTCGACAGAGAAAGAGAGAGAGAGAGAAAAAGTATGAAGTTTTTTATAAATTATAGAACGATTACGTATGGATCGAATGATAGTTATATAATCGCACAATTTGTCAAGTCATATAAAATTGTTATAAGATTTTTTTGTGCTTTCCTAGAAGAAAAACACATTACACAAATTATTGTT